TAAATGCAATTGAGTATCTGAATTTTTTACAAACCCACCTTGAACCCATTCTGGATAATCTCCCATTAAATATTCGACATCAGCTGCACTTTCAGCACGACGCACAGTGAATCGGACATATGAGGAAATAGGTAAAAAATCATATTTTGTGTACGGTTGAGCCGAGTTGAACGAAATGAAAATAAAATGAGAAAAAAAGCACCTTACCTTTATGATATACGTTCTTAGACGCCTTGCAGTAGAATAAACGATTTTGGTGCTCTCTTTGGATAATCCAATTTTTAAATGATGAATATTGCTGTGTTTTTGTAGGATAATTGGCGCAATAAATGAAATTCTATAGAAAACTACAATTTCAATCAAATATAAAAATGCTTATTATTTTATTTATCCTAAAGAGCTGTGGGTATCTACTATGGGTATCTACTTAAAATATAAGTGGTGTTTATGGAAAACCTCGTTAGCAAAACTTATCTAAAATATTTTTTATTTTGAAAACGAGAACAATAATTCTATAAAGAACAATAAAACTATAAATTTACTTAACCACGAAATACATTTTTTCTTTCTTTTAATAAAAAGAAATTAAATGATTTATGATGAATCAGATTCCGAACTACCATCATTCAAATTAACATCAGTTATATTAAGACCATCATTATAAGTAGAAATGGGTTTAATTTTTTTCAAATACCTCCGAACTTCTTCGTCATCTGTACGATATATTTTGTTCGAAAACGTATTCCTTTGATATGCTATAAGGGGTTCCGAGGTTAAAATTAAAGTGTTCATAAGATCTGTGTTACAACTAACTCTTGAAGTTTTGCGGGTATGAGACAATCGATGCTTCCTGACTTCCTTATGCCTTGCTTCTAAGGCCTCCTCGGATAACTGCCCTATTGGTAAATCAAAGGAACCGATTATATCTGACCCATGAACAAGGATTTTGTGAACGCTGCTAGGCATATTATACCACTTGTATAAGTGTAAGTACATTTCTCTGGTACTTTTAAGTAACAGTGCAAACAGTTCTAGATCATTTCGCAGCCGCTTGCGATTACTCTAAGTATTATCGAACATTTTTGTATTAATTCCTTATTAATGCCAGTGATCTCCGACGAAAGTTGGGGATTAAAAAAGAAACGCCTAGCAGTATTTCCATCATTGGAAGATCCATAGCCGGGCTTAGACTTATCTACTATAAGTCCCATTTTAGACTTAAACTCTGCCTGGATCCGTTTTTTGTTTTTTTCCACAATTCGCTTATTTTCATCTCCACGAGCTTGCCAACATTTTATTGGGAGTTTGTACGATATATGCAAGAAACATTCAAAAAACCGTATCCAGCAGTGAAGAGAAGATAATCCAAAACGGTAATTGGATATATTCGGAGGCCGGTTCACAACGTTTCCGTCATTCATTTGACTGGGAGTTGCTCCACAAATAATACATTTGGAAGTAGCGTTAGTGTTAGACAGAGTATTAGCTACACTGCCATCCATCATGGTAAAAATTAAGTCATGCTTGACAGATATTTCTTAACCGTTCTTAATTATTATTTTACTCTGCTGCAAGCCATCAATTTTTTGTTGCATTTGCGCTTCCTCGTTTCGAACAAGGTCTCGGTTCTCTTTTGCGAAAACAAATTTCACAGGCCTGCAGAATAGTGTCGATGACGGTTTTTTATTAATCCAGCACTCTTTATTCGAGTCCACATCGATTAATCTAAGTGGAACTAGGGCTACCAGAAACATAAATTCGTCAGTGTCCTCGTCATTTGAGAACAACTGCTTATAAATGCTATGGCCGGAGCTCCCATCCATACCCCACTTATATATTAACTTAAATCTTGTTCCATAAATATCCAATATTTTGCAAATGCTTTGCGCTGTTAGGTCAAGTAAATTCTGCAATTCTACCTCAGCTGAAGTGTCCGTAACCTTTAAACTGGTTGGTAAAAATGATTTTCTTGCAATTTTCAAAGGATATAAACTTGGAAGACAGTTTTCATGTAGTCCGTTAATAACAGTTCTTAATATTCTGTACTTTCTATCAGATAAGTCCAAATCGAGACATAAGGCTAAAGCCTGATAAGGTGTCAGACATTTTTGGTTTTCTTGTTTTTATCCGCTTTATTTTCCACTTGCCAAATCTGCTGCAAACCGCAATTCCTCGGCCGTTCGATTTGCCACCAAATCTGAAACACGGCTTTTTTTAACCCTAGTAGTAACTTCTTCAAATGGTTTGTAAGGTCTCCCACGTGCTTGTTTGCTCGATCCTGGCTGAAGTTGGGTAGCATCAACCAAATTAGGTACATGAACTTTTCGCTCCAGCCACACTTTATTAGTTGAAAGAAACTTATCACGTATTCGTGAACTTTTCTGCCACTTTTTTTTTAACATTCAAACTGAACAACCTCGTAAATTCAATAAGGCTTTTATGGTCAGATTCGCAACAATCTTTTAAGTTTAACTCAGTACGTAATTTATTCAAAATTATATCATTACAACGATCTTTCTTGTTATCTATCCATAACTGAGCGAGTTCCATATTCGTGATATGTGACCCACCTAAAAAAAAAGAATATCTCCTGAAGTAGCAGATTGTAGCAGGTAAACAAAGTGGATTTTTACTGTACATAAAAATGGTATTTTAAATGTACAATCGAGAGAAAACGTTTTGCGTCCTTTTTTTTAATTCCTCTTTATATTTTTTTATTTTTACTATCAATAATTATATACATATTCAACTTCTTGAATGTCCTGTGCAAATTTTCATGGCTACAATAACCCGTTGAAACCATGTTTTAGCAATACATACCTGTAGCTTTCGATGCCATATTAGATGGGTAGATGGATAGGAAAAGGTGGTCCCATACCGTGGCCACCTCGATCTCCGGATTTAAATCCATTAGATTATTACTTTTGGGGTCGTATAAAAGATATGGTATACGCTCTAGAAGTTGACAGTGCGGAACAGTTGCGTGAAAGGATACGTTTGGCAGGGAATGAAATACGGCAAAATAATTTTGAAGTAATGCGAGCTTCACATGCAATTACCCGTAGAGCCGAAATGTGCCTTCGTCAGCAAGGCAACGTTTTTGAACACTTACTTTAAATGTTGTATAAATTGATATTTTTAGTAGAATTTTTGTTATTTTTAATAGAATTTTTGTTATTTTTAGTAGAATTTTTAGTAGTATAGACAAAAACAATTTTTGATAATCATTTGTTTATCGTCGTCATTTTGACCTATTTTAAGTCATCCTTAGGAAAATAAAAGTAGATACTTCACGTTAAAAAGCTTAAAATTATTATCAAATAGCATTTGCAATAACTAAAAGTAGGTAACTAATGATTTCTTCTCTAACTCAGTCAAACTTCACATTTTCAAGAAATTACCAGCTATTCTTAATTTCAAATACAGTTTTGCTATAATTTTACGATATTAAACGTATCTGACTTATTTTTACCATTACCCTAAAAGAGTTTAAACGTCGGCAGTTAAAGAAATAAATTCTCATCAATCATTTTATTGGGCAAAAGCCAACCAAACCATTAAAAAAAACAATTGATTAGTTTAAGTTTAAATACTATTTAGTTTTACCATTTAAAGTTTCTTTATAAAATAAACATTAAATTAAAGCTAAATACATTTCTTTAGTCACCGGTTTTCCAAACCTGAAAAAAAATTCTTATTCCACAGGCCTGCTAATTATTATTGTTTGCACTTTCGAATAAAATAATATGAACTTATCATAAAATTTTCAAATGCTTTTTTCTTGAAAATGGTGCGTCCTAGCGAGATGTAACAAGAGTAGCTTTATTATAAAGAAAACATTGGGTTTCCAAATTTTTTAGTCAAAAATGTTAAAAACTGACAAAAAAAAAACTTAGGGCAATTTTACCTTAAGCCCCCCCTAATTTACCCATCTATGAAGATGATCAAAAATTAAGATTAAGTCCATTACATAGAGCGTAAAAAGGTAAGCATTTGTTCTAAATTTAATTTTGTTATCTTTAAGCGTTTAGAAAATATTTACAAAAATGTGTCATCAGGACTTCACTTTAAACACCCTGTATCTGGGAAAAGAAACGTTTTCGGACCTATGTTTATATGAACTTTTACTCCTATTTTAGGATTTAGATTACGCTGTTAAAATATGACCGTCTAATTTCGGGACACCCTGTATAATAAAAAATGAGATAAAAAGATCGTCAAATTTTCATTTTCTTCTCACATTTAATCAGTGGCATACCGTGGCGTAGGTATACAACATATATGGCAGGTTAAAAAAATAATCAAAATAATAAAAAAAAATAGTGAACTAATTTAAAGTAGGACAGTTTACGTAAAAAAATGTGAACGTATCTGTTAAACTTTAAAATTAAGATCATTTCTTTTAATGTGTAGATTTGCGAAAAGATTTATTACATTTTCTTAAAATGAAGATGAAGAGCGCGAATACGATACTTGCATTCGCCGAGATGCGTTTGAGATACCGCATCACTCACCAGCTAAAACAGCGAAATCACGACCGGAAAGGTCGCTCAAGAACCCACCAGGCATTTAAGATGTAATGAGAAACATCGCATCATGGCGATGTCGAAATATTTCTATTTGTAGCGTAGTAGCGTATTCTATCAAGCTCGACAAATGCATATATAAATAATTGAAATTAAATTTAATTATTTGAATAAATTCATTGAGAGTTTCAATTTATTATAAGAGATCTTATTGATTTTATTTTAAATAAAAACATATTAGATGACAATATTTTGAAAGGATGCGACACATCAATGGAAGCTTTGCCACTGCATTCAATAACTAATTAATTAAAAAATTGTTTTTAGAAATAGTACCGTTGATATCTCATCCTGTGCGTGTATAGAGAACTTTTGATAAATGTTGGCGCTCTCGCTTTCATCGAAGTAAAGCGATAAAAGATAAAAGCACTTTTTCAGATAAATTATACTAACTTCGCAAATTTCAATTAGTACCAAGTTAGTGGTTTTAAGTATTATATCGTGACATGGGGACTTTATCCCTATGGATTTCCCTTATGGTGCTGGCCATTTTACTGATGGACCAGCAAATAGGGTGAGTTTAATTTATAAAAATATTTTATTTTTTAAAACTATACATTTAAAAGAAAATTTTTACAAAAAAAAAATGTAACAATTGTTAGAAATATAAATGGTACTTAATTTTTACAAATTAAACTAAAAATATCACTGATTATGCAAAATTTAATATACTTTTAGATTCTATTCAAATAACACACTGTTTTAATGAGTTTCATAAATTAACTAACATTATTTTAAGTTACTAATAAACGACTCAGGCAAATATGTAGACCAAAAAGTTAGACATATGCGCATATTATATATGCATATTATTTGTGTCAAATGCGCATTTAATTAAAATAATATGCACTTTATAGATTAGCAATAGATTAATTTTATAAAATAAAATAAAACTTTTAAACAATTACTGTATTAAATTATCCATACATGTTCATTTATTTATAGAAACAATATTTGATGATTTTTTTAAAATTTTCTTATAAAAAGTTATATCTTCTATCTGAATACATATTGTAAATAGAAAAGTTCCGTTCTTCATCCACCAAAGTTATCGGAGCATATTTAAAATAAATTAGAACTTCTGCTTCTAGATTTGTTTCATATAACACCCCAATTAAAACATTTGCAACCTTAGATAGAAATACGAAACCATTATTTTTATCAATGACTGATTTTCAATTTCAACATTTTTGCAAGATAATTCAATTTTTTTTTATTAATTTAATCGATTTAATTAAAGATAAATTTGATTTAATGTATGGAAATTGTTATTCATATGTGATTTTTAAACAATTTTTTTGCCTGTGAAAGATCTTGGGAAGACTCGTCAACAAATTCCATTATTGTGAGCTTCAGTTGAGCAAAATTTTCTTCATAAAACATTGCAGCCTCTAACCAAGTTCCTCATCTAGTAACAACAGGTTATGGCCGAAGAGGAACATTCAGCAAATGTTCTCTATAAAATTGTGTCTTATAGGTGCCTTAAGAAATATTTTTTCACATTTGAAATTAAATTATTATCAAGAAGAAATTTATTCCTAATTTCTTCTGCGACCCTGTTAATACCATGGGCTAACCAAGTATGTATGTACCAAAGGTGGATAAAAGAATTTTAGATTTTATCCTGCTTCAACCATGTAAGGTGCTGCGTTTGAAAGAAAGAATAAAAATTTTTTATTGGGACAGCTAAAAGAAGAAAAAAAAATGTTAAACTGTCTTGTAAAATCTTGAAATTGTTAAGGCTGCTTGCAAGCAATTAAATGCAATTTAGAAGCTTGTTCATTTTTAAGAACTCCGATTAATTAATAAATGCGCGATGTAACGGCCCGAAAAATCAAATAAGATTCAAATAACAATTAGAACTTTGAATATTTTTTATTAAAATTTAGATTTAAAACTTTAAATTTGGCTTTGGCGGTAATCTATCACCCTCCAGATTCGAGTCTTGTTGAACTTCAGTTCTTTTTTAATGATATTCTCCCTATATTGCTTACTGAATACGATTATTCTATTGTAACTGGTAACTTTAATATAAATATGTTAGTCCCCAACACACTACTCAATTTATTTGAGACTTATGGGTATGTTAAACATGTTAATGAACCGACGCGAATTGCAGCAACCTCTGCCACATTATTAGATCCCATATTTACTAACGGTAACTTTTGTAGAGAAAATGGAAATATAATATAGGATTTAAGCGACCACAACGTAATGCCTTTTGTACATAATTTCAATTTTTAATATTCATGCTCCACTTAAAACTATTCGAGTCAGTAATCCCCCAGCACCTTGGCTAACTGATAATTTAAAATTAATTCTTAAAAAGCTTTAATAAAATTTAAATCTGGGAAAACTACTCAAAATTGGAATTACTACAAGGAATGTCGTAATTTTGCTCTTGCCTCTATTAGAAGAGAAAAGGCGGCCTATCAGAATAAACTTCAAAATGAATTAAATGAGAAAGCTTTATGACAGGGTTTAAGTAACATGAATATTAAATGTTCTACCGCTAATAAAGAGTTGCCTTTCAATTAACGTGATCCTAATGATATCAATGACTATTTTATTAGTGTCTTCAATAAATCTGATAACTGTTTGCAGAAAATACAATTTACTTGAATAATAAATTTAATAATAACAAACTAACCTTAACTCCAGTAGATCAGAATACAATTCTCAAAGTTATAAATTCTATTAAATCAAATGCTGCTGGTAATGATGAAGTATCGATTTATATGAGCAAGCTGACTATGCCGACGTTCCTTGATCATATTACCCACATTATTGGTTATTGTTTACAGTATGATTACTTTCCGAAAATGTGGCGAGAATCAGTAGTTTGTCCCATACCTAAAATAGCTAATCCTAATACGGTATGTGAATTACGTCCAATAAGTCTTTTACCTGTCTTAACCAAAATACTTGAACGAGATGTGTATATACAGTTATATGACTATGTTACAAACAACAATATCATACCCACTCAGCAGTCTGGCTTTCGCAAAAATTACATTACTGCTTTTGCTTTATCAAATCTAACTTACATAAGATCTATTGATAAAAAATTTGGTGTACTACTAATTACAATAGACTCTTCCAAAGCCTTTGATTTAATTGACCATGACTTACTTTGTGCTAAACTGAAATACTATGGCTTAGATGACCCTGCACTATCTTTTTTTAAGTCCTATCTATGGAAACATAGTCAACGTGTATGCGTTGATGGTTCCAAATTTATTTTCTCGGGGTGCCACAAGGATCCATTTTGGGGCCCCTGTTATTTTTTTTATATATACTTCAGAGTGGCCAAATTTGTTAGAAATAGTGAAATACAATTTTATGCTGACGACACACAGATTGTTCATTCTCTTGAACCTGCAGATATTCCTAATACCAATAACAATATAAATATGGATTTAGATGCCATTTTTCAATTTTCCAGAGAACATAACTTAACCGTCAATTCATCTAAAACTACAGCAATCTTATTTTGTGGTAAAACCAAAAGAAATATATGTGAAGGTTCATTAAGGCTCGAGTTGGGTGGAGTTAGAATACATTTTTCTGTGGAAGCCAAAAATCTAGGATTAATCATAGAACAATCACTTAGATTCGAAGACTGTATTAAAATATTACTTTAAAGATATTATGTAAGAATACGTATGTTATATGCCAACAAGCATATCTTAAACTTCAAAATGCGTAAAAAGCTTTGCGAGTCTTTGGTTATCTCAGTTCTAAACTACTGTATTACAGTTTATTACCCTTGCATTGATAAAACCTCACAAAACCAGCTACATGTTGTAGGTATGTTTTTAATCTGAGGAAATATAATGACATATCCTTTAACATTAATGAACTTAAGTGGTTAAAAGTTAATAATTTTTTTCAGCTACATTTTCTAACTTTCTTGTACCGTTTATGTAAAAATAGGATTCCTTTATATTTGTTTGAAAAGGTAATTTTTAGAAATGCCGTCCACAATTGTAATGTCCGATTTAATACTCTTACCATGCCACACCATTCTACTGCACTGTTTGAGCGTTCTTTTACCTAAAATTTAGTTCAATTAACAATTTTCGTTACACTATTAAAAATATTCTCCTTAACAGGCAATAAATAATTGTTTAATTTAAATTCTATTTTATATTTTTCATTTAATTAATATTGTCTGACAACTCTTTTAATGCTTTTGTCCATTTCTAATTACTTTTTTCATTTTTTTTTTTTTTCATTAATTTTCTTTTGTAAACCAAGAAGGTTTAGAGTTACAGAGTAGCTTCAGCTAATCTTCACCTTCTTGGTGCAGTAATGTAATAATTTATTTAATAAAGACCTAATTATTATTAATAATATTATTATTAATCGGTTATTTCGTCTACATGCAGTGTGGAACAACCAAATGGAATAAGTTCGGTAATAAATAAATGGGGACGTGTTCGGAAAAACGCTTGGACACGTCAAATGGTATTTTTAGTTGAGCATTTTTATACAGGGTGTATGAGTGGCCAATACCAACTTTCTTATTTTAAGTGCAACACCCTGTATATTTTTCAATTTTTGAATTCTTCAGAAAATTCTAAACATATATACTATATATAACCTGTTTATTTATTGCAAAAATTAACATTAAGAACCTAAAATTTAGGTCTTGTTAATGAAAAAGTAAGCAAAAACTATTACAGCGTTCCTTTTTACTTTCCTATCTGTATACAGATATAAGGAAAGTATAGGAATCATGATTTTTTTCGACCTCGAGTTTTCGACGGATTTTTACGTTTTGAGGTCCCCTGAATCCGTTTTGACTATTTTCGCAATGATGTCTGTGTGTCTGTGTGTGTGTCTGTGTGTCTGTGTGTCTGTGTGTCTGTGTGGTGTGTCGCATAACTCATGAACCGATACACAGGAAACCACCAAATTTTAAACTTAAGCTTTGTTCCAACGTCCAATGAGCTTATTAGATTTTGGGCAGAGTCGAAACATCTGGGGGGGTACTTTATAGGTGGTCATTTTTATATTTTATGGAATATATCTGTTATTTACGTTTGAAGAAGAAACTTATTCAAATAAAAGTTACTTCTTATATTAATATCTAAAATTTTTGTTCCGTAGAAAATTTTCCTAAAATGGCCCGTATTCGAGAAATTTGACAAAATGTAAAAAAATATTTTTTTTTATAAAAATTGTTTCAAAACAAAAGTTGTTTGTAATATAATTCTCTATAATTTTTATTCCTTACAGAATTTCTCTAAAATGGACCGTATTCGAGATATTTGAGAAAATGTGTAAATTTCGAAATTTGAAGAAAACTCAAAAACTGATAAAGAAAAAAACATTAAATATTAAACTTAAGTTGTTTTATTTCGGCCTGACGTGAAATGATTAGATTTTGGACAAAGTCAAAACATCTGGGGGGTACTTTATGGGAGGCCGTTTTTATATTTTATGGAATATATCTGTTATTTATGTTTGGAGAAAAAAAATAGTTCAAATAAAAGTTACTTCTAATATTATTATCTATAATTTTTGTTTTATGTCAAAATTTCATGAAATGGTCCGTATTCGAGAAATTTGACAAAATGTGCAAAATTCTGATTTTTATGAAAATTGTTAAAATAAAAGTTGTTTGCGATATCGATCTCTATAATTTTTGTTTATACACGATTTTTCTAAAATGGACCGTAATGGAAAAATTGGAAGAAAAGTGCTAAATTAATATTTTTCAGTATTTTCGTTGTCAATGAATATCTATAGAAAAATGTTTCGAGGTAGAGTATGTGGAAAATGTATATATATAGTTTATCCTCTAAACATTTATAGAGGTGCTGCAATAGGTTGTACAAAATAACCGGAAAAAGTCTCTAATAACTAGATAGGAAAGTCATGTGTTGGAGACATCAGATTTTTACTGATATGAAATAAAATAAAGCTATACTTAAATAGTTTTGTTTACTTTTGTTTAAAACGCCTGACCTTAGCAAATTGTTATCTGACTGCATGACAGTAGTTGTCAGTATTATAGTCGTTTGAATTTACTTAACTACATATCAGAAAAATGGTTCATTTAACAGAAATGCACAAAATAACAATTCTACAGATGATTGGTTATGGAGATAAACACAAGGACACAAATAGAAGTTGTTCGCTTATATCATGAAAAATTTCCAAATTTGCCGCGTATATCCTAAGAAATAATTATTAGTAAAATAGAGAAGCAGTTTCGCGAGCTTGGACATGTAAGGCAGATAAAAATACAGCTGCCAATGCAATAACTAATGATACCAAATTGAATATTCTGTTTGAGTTTCAGAAAAAGATACATATTTCTAGTCGACAAGCAGCCGAAATGTTCGATATTAGCCATTCATCGATTATTCGAACATTAAAAGAAAATAAAGTGCATATTCCTATAAAATAATAGCAAATCAGAATCTCATGGAAGACGATTTTGATAGAATAACTTAATTTTGTAAACAAATGATGGTAATGTTAGATAATATGGTGATCCAATTAGACCATGTTTTTTTTTCTGATGAGTGTACCTTTACACTTCACGGTCATGCTAATCGTCAAAATTTCCGCTATTGATCTAGGGAAAATCATCACTGGATGAGATAAGAATATAAGCATTACCCTAAAAAGGTTAATGTTTGGGCAGAAATTGTTGGCGATCATATCATGGGTCCATTTTTCATTGATAGTAATTTGAATGGCGATAATTATTTAGCACTGCTCCAAAATAATGTCGTGCCAACTTTGACGAACTTATATCCCGTTCCAGCAAACCCACAAGTTCCAATATGATATGGTTTCAGCAAGATGGAGCACCGCCCCATTATCAAATCAATGTCCGGAAGTACCTCAATCGAGTATTTCCAAATTGGTGGATAGGGAGGCGAGGATCCCCTGATCTGACATCAGACTATTTCTTACGGGGATATGTCAAAAGTATTGTATACAAAACTAAACCTATCGATCTAGCTGAGCGATTAGATCGATCACGCCTGAGATGTTGAGTAACGTTAGAAGACATTTTTATTTCAGATTAGGATGTTGCCAAGAGGTTCGCGGCGAGCATTCTGAACATCTCCTACATTGAAATGTATTTGTTACATTATCAAGAAATAAACAGAATTACTTATTAGTTTTTGAGTGTGTTGCAACGAATTTCTGTAATCAAATAATTTTATTTTATTAATGTTAATTTTTGCAATAAATCAAAAAACATTTAATATTTCCGAAACAGTTAGATATAGGACATAGTACATAAACTATGTCTAGCATTGAAAATTGAAAAATATACAGGGTGTTGCCTTTAAAATAAGAAACCCACTGGTACATGACACACACTGTATAAAAAAATTTTGTTTAAAAAATGCGCAACTAAAAATACCAATCGACATGTCCGAGCAATTTTCCCAACATGCGCCGATTTATTTATTTGATTGAAAATACTCAGATATTGAATCTTGCTTTTTCTCTCCAGATTTTATTAAGCTATTGCATAGCTTTTATCGCCGGCTTTGAGCGCGGCGACCGAATCAAGAAATTCCGTAACGAAAAAAAACCTAACACCCTCCACAGCGGCGCTGCGTTAAACAATATTATTCTCATTTATTCAATAAAAGAAAATCGAAAAATCGAAAAATCGAAAAATCGAAAAATCGAAAAATCGAAAAATCGAAAAATCGAAAAATCGAAAAATCGAAAAATCGAAAAATCGAAAAATCGAAAAATCGAAAAATCGAAAAATCGAAAAATCGAAAAATCGAAAAATCGAAAAATCGAAAAATCGAAAAATCGAAAAATCGAAAAATCGAAAAATCGAAAAATCGAAAAATCGAAAAATTGAAAAATCGAAAAATCGAAAAATCGAAAAATCGAAAAATCGAAAAATCGAAAAATCGAAAAATCGAAAAATCGAAAAATCGAAAAATTGAAAAATTGAACATAACGAAAATAAACCTAATACCCCCCACTCCGGCGTTGAAAGCCGTGCATCGTCTAACTTCGTTTCAGTTCGGCAGACTTCGGCACGGTGTTTGCGTGCGACTAGACTTATGCGTGTAGACTAGCTGCTAACTGCTCATAACTGATTCTATCTCTTTTAGACACAATTTCGGAAAAATTTAATTTGAAAATGAATAATGATCCACAAGAATCCACAACAAAATATGGGACCACCATTGACGCGATATTTTTCAGATATTTAGAGAATATCAAGTCTCAAACTTATGTTTCTTATTTCAGTTACCATAAACCTATAGTTTCAATGATAAAAATTCCTGAATAACCTCATGTATTGTAAGATAATAAAAATATTTTAAACAATATTAACAATAAAAGAAAAAAAATTGTTTTCTTATCGGTCACCACGCTCAAAAATGTCTTGAATTAATATCAAAGAAAAAATATACTGCATAAATAAAAATAAATAAATAATTATAATTGCGTAAGTTGATAAAAAATGCTATGCAATAGCTTTACCGCGACAGTCCCCGAGTGCCACACGTATTTTTAGTTTTTGTTTTTGCCGTCTGTAAAGCAGTTTTGCAATACTAAACTATTTAAATTTTTTTGTCACTTAGTATCTGCAAAAAAATCCGCTTCAGTATGTTAAGTAATTTATTTTTGGATTAAGGGGTATTTAAAATTACTTAACGGTGGAAAATAATTTTAAAAAGTGTCGAAAAAGTTTGAAATCTAACAAAAATCTTACAAAAATCTCAAAATCACTTCAAAAGATTCATCGACTAAAAAATTTGAAAAAACTTTTAAAAACGCAAGTTAATCTAAAATAATGTCTAGGGCCTTAAAACTGTATGAATTGAATGAAAAATGGCAGAAAATTCATATTATTTAAGATACAAATTAAAATTATTTTCATAATATTAAATGCATAAATGCACTTTTGAATATTTGCCTGACTCTGCTAATAATTACTCAAATAATGTCCCGGTGGTGGGAGCTGTCGTGTAACCTACCATATTTAAAGTAAGCTTGTTCATCGATGGATTTTTTCGTTTTCTTACTGACAATTAAAAAAAATGCCCTTGTACATCTATAACAATAAAAAAATCCCTTTGCAAGAATTTTTTGTCGTCCAGTTTTGCCTTTTTCGGTGTAAGTGCAGAGATTTCTCTACACCGAAAATAACAAAATCGGACGACAGAAAATGGTTGCAATTGATATAGATGTCTAGAAACAAATTATATCATTTACAGCAAAAAAGGAAAAATCCATCGATAGGCAATATTATTTTGAATTTGACAGGTAACACGACACCTTCCAGCACCAGTAAATGTTTTTGCAGTCAGCGATGAGGGACAATGAGTATAAACGTATTTAGTTTTTAATGAGCTTCCTTTTTTATTGTTAATAAATATAAGCTATCAAAATATGTATTATAAATAAGAGGCGGATGATATATGAAAATATGTAGGTACAGACCAACTTATTTCGTCATTGGATACGAAAGTTAACTTCCGGGATTTTCTCTCGTTAGTGAAGGAAATCAAGTTATCGCTAGACGTATCCTGTGTCCTGTTAATAAGAAACTGTAAATAATTGTTATTTAACTAATATTATTATTCTGTTGCAGGAGTGCTCAAGTTCCAAAATTTTTGAAAAATAAATATGGAACCAAATCAGCGTCGCCGAATTCTTATGCTGCGTCTGGGTGAGTATCTACTTGTACCTAGTGAAGTGTTTGAAGATAAAAATAGGCTATTGCCTTTGAATTCTTTCGAATTACAACTATTTGTAATTAAGCATATCTTACCCTCCTCTTCAAAAGTTATATGTTGCTAATGTGTGCCTTTTATTTTTGAACCCATTTGCGGTATATCTATAAACATATTTTATTTAATTAAAAAAAACTTTCATCCTTTGCATCATATAATAATATTATGACAAACGGTGAAGGTGAGCTATTTATTGGCTTTGATGTTTGCTCTGTTTATGATTGTGTATCTGTTAAGAGATGTTATAATTGTAATGGTTTTAATAATTTTTAAAAACATTGTCCCAGTAGTACTATTTATTGTCCAAGGTGTGCATAAAAACATGCTTTAAAAGAATGAATTAAAATGTATAAATTATGTGAAGGTGTTGGAACAGGATTCTCTGATTCAAATTAATGTAAATCATGCTACATGGGACAGCTATTGTAAATCTTGCCAACGTCATATAGATGAATTAAAATCTTCGCTTTATGTAGCATAGCAATCGTAAATGAGTCAGTAGGATGTATCAACCATAGGTGGTAAAAACTCGATCTGCTACCCATGTATTATCAAAATGTTCGTGGAATTAGAACTAAAATAAATATCGTTTACTTGTTTTCTCTTCAGTCCAATTTCGATTTTGTTATATTGACAGAGACTTGGTTAAATGAATCTTTTCGTAGCTGTGAGATATTTTCCGATAATTATCATGTTTATAGAAAGGATAGATCTACTTCTCGGGTTAAAAAAATTACGGTGGGGGTGCTTTGTTAGCTGCAAATAAAAAATTTATTGGTAATGAAATAGGCCTAACATTTATTAGCGATAATATTTCAATTATAGATATTTTAGGCATTACGTTTACATTAAATTATTACAAAATATTAATACTACTTATTTACATTCCTCCAAGAAGTTATCGATTATGAAGCCTTATTTGATTGTCTCTCCACCTTAAATTTTGCTAATTACGAGAAAGTATTTGCTTTAGGAGACACTACGTTCCCCAGTATGTTAATACGTCACCTCTCACTGGTCAACATTTATTAGCGATATTATTCCAATTATTGATATTTTAGGCACTTTGATTACATTAAATTATTACAAAATATTAATATAACTTATTTACATTTCTCCAAGTCTTAAAGTTATCGATTATGAAGCCTTATTTGATTGTCTCTCCACCTTAAATTTTGCTAATTACAAGACAGTATTTGTTTTAGGAGACTTTAATTTTCCCCAGTATGTTAATATAGCACCTCTCACTGGTCAACATTTATTAGCGATATTATTCCAATTATTGATATTTTAGGCACTTTGATTACACTAAATTATTACAAAATATTAATATAACTTATTTACATTTCTCCAAGTCTTAAAGTTATCGATTTGGAAGCCTTATTTGATTGTCTCTCCACCCTAAATTTTGCTAATTACAAGACAGTATTTGTTTTAGGAGACTTTAACGTTCCCCAGTATGTTAATATAGCACCTCTTACTGGTCAACGAGTGAATTAAATGCTTTCGTACATCTTCACGATTTCAAACAATATACAGTAAAACTTCTGTTAACGAACACCTGTCCACAATGGAAACCTCCACTGAACGGATAGTTTTTAGGTCACCGAACCTTTCATATGTGGGTAAATGGGCTAAGACACCCCCGAACAATGGACCCTATTCATAACGACTCTGAACAAAATTTACCATCATTTTTTCTATGAAATTCTTGTAACAACGAACAATAAAGGCGATTAAAATTTGGGCTCGGGAAATTGGGAATTCCAAATAACTTATTGTAACAATGTCTTCGACTAAGACAAAGTTTTTAAGTTGAAAGAAATATCGTTGATATATTGGCCGAACAGGAAAAACTCAAGTTAGTGACATTTTAAATAAAAAGGCCGACTTAAAAAAGTTGTATAGTGAAAAACAAAAAAGATGATTAAAACTGAGGGTGTTACCTTCGATTCTATAGTGTACGACTGGTTTTGTAAAGTGAGAAGTAAGAACATTCTATTATCTGGACCAATAATTAATGAAAAAGCCTTAGAGGCTGCGGATAATCAAGCATGTAATTTGTGAACTTAAAAAATTTCGAATACACACTTTAGCATTGGTTTTGAATTATTTATTGAATAATCCTTAATTATGAATTCCCCACTGATGCAGAACTTTCTATCAATTATAATTTTTTTTAATATGTAAGATAAAACTTTTTCCCATTTATATAAACCGTTTTGGGACGCCCTGTATAATTTAAACTATAGTTTTATTCAGAGGGTTCATATTATAAAATCCGAAATTTAACATCAGAAAAATGTGTTGACGCTTTGTGATAATAAACAATCGGTTTATTAACATCTGCGATAAACTTCGAATTCTTTCATTGCCTAGGTCATAAACACCCAAAAACTAGACATATCAACATCCGGTTAGCTCCGTTAAATTGGGAAGGACAACCATGAACGCACTAGATACAGATAAAAAAATAGATATACATATATAAAAAAAAATTAAAATAATTTACATAAAATGTCCCATCAGGAGACAACTCGCGACCTTACTGAAATGCATATTTTGTGCGAATTAATCACAAGGTTCTAATCTTAATGACGATAAATACTCGTTTAGCTTTGAAAATATTAATTTGTAAATTAACAGTATTGTGAGGATAAAATGTGTTAAATGAGGAATCTATCATTTGAGAGTTTTGAAAAATTTGCCATTAGTACCAACAAATGGGGCGAATCAGGACAGTTTTGACATATTTTTCTAAATAACGTTTCTTATAAATGAGATAGAGGCTCCAAGTAAATGTCAAAAGTTGGGTTTCTGTTAGAGCTTCAAAACAACATATCATTCACACATGTCACTTAGACAGGTGATTTTACGTGTCCCGAATCGCCCCGCAAATTGGGTCAATCGGGACACCCCATTTATTTTGATGGAATGGACGATACACCCCAGCTATGGGGCGTATCAGGACAAAAAATTTAGTTTTTTAAAAGTTACAGAAAAAAAAACGGGATAAAAACGACAAAAATAACGTCAAATCAGCTTTTATTTAACATAGAACAAAAAAAAATCTTAACCCATGTAACGAAACATTTTTAAACTTAAGAAAAAACTCTCAAAAACAAAAAAAAACTTAACCCTTGTAAAAAACATTTTGAAACTTAAGAAAAAACTCTTAAAAACAAAAAAATCTTAACCCATGTAACGAAACGTTTTTACATTTAAGAAAAACTCTTAAAAACAAAAAATCACAAATGCAAAAAATTTACAGATATAAAATATTGATTTGAGTAAGCTCTTCTGCTATTCTTCTTGGTAAACACGTAGCCACCTCTTCGCAAAACTGTCGGCTGTGCTAACAATTTTTTAATTTGTTGTTTGTTTATTACGCAGATATCTTTTTTTTTTTCTATTAGGGCGAAGAAACTTAATGGTTATTAACTCGTCATCTACTACGTTCCGGATAAGGCCAATAAAATATTTGTCTTGTTTATCTGTTTCATACTGAATCTCAACAAAATCATCTTTTTAAAATTTTCCAAAACCAAGTCAGCTTCTTCGTCATCAGAAGATGATAAAGAATCTAATGCCTTCTCCACAACATCAAGCTTATCAAAGTCGTCTTCGACCGTAGTCTCAATCCTTGGTGAGGATGGGCTAGCTTGAGCAAATTCTTCTTTTGACACGTTTTTTCCTGGTTCTACGGCAACCTTTCTCTTTTTCGTGACTGTTGGTTTACACGCATTCCTGGTGTCATTCAGTAAACGAATGGTCGAGTGGGGAATCCTACCAAGGCATCAGAATTAATTTTAAATAATTAAATTAAATAAAAAATCCCGGCCAACAGTGGGATTCGAACCTGGGACCCTTGGATTCACAGGCAGAGACTCTACTACTGAGCCACCCATCCCTTCAGAAAACTTATTTTTGTTGAATGTATATGTTGAACATTTTGCTTAGAGCCGTCTCTGGCCTTTCACGATTGTTCAGAAATCAAGAAGGTGATTACGTCACTCTTTCATTCCGCGCTATAGCTAACCTTCAAAAACCAATAGAACGATGCTTGACAGGATGAAAAATAGCTCTAAAAATTCAAAATAGTCCAAGAAGAAAGATTTATTAAAACTTTGCAAATCAGATGTTACACCTGATGATTTTCACCATTATTATAACAATCTACCAATATTATCCAATAATGTTAAAGGCTGTTATTATTTATTAAACAGTTTGAAGTTTTTACTGATTTTTTATTCAATTTTAACCTTTTGAACAGAGTTTAAAAATGTTAATTATCTTGTTTTTCCAATAATCCGACGGGATATATTTGTTTTGTGTTTTATTTATTAGAGATCCCCACTAATTTTAATTTTAAATGGATGGCCTAAAAAAAGGGTATTCATTAAAAATGTTTGAGTATGACTGGATTAGACGGACGGTTGCATGGTGTCGTTTGATTATTTTTATATTTTACTATTTTTAATGTTTTCGATATATATTGTCCTTTTGATCTATTGAATTTTAAATCTATTGCCTTTTCGTTAGAAATATATCTTCGATTAAATTTTATTCGATAAAATATATTTTTGATTAAATGTCATTCGACAAAATGTATTTTCGATCAAATTTCCAATTGGATCAAATGTTTTTTGATCTAGTATTCGAATTTCCCCCCGGTAACGAAGGGAAAGCGAATATAGGAGCCCTTTAGCTCGCGCAAAACCCATTTGTACTAAATAAGGTCCATAAAAAATACATTGCATTTTAAAAATAGTGTTAAATACTTAAAGCACTAAAGTTAAACCGAAAATTCTGAAAATCATTAGTGTATGCGGCTTAAAAAATTATATAGTAAAGACAAAACAGCAAGTTGATCGGAATAATCTATTTTTTATTTTTCCGAATCGTAAGCCAGAAAAATCAATTTTTCAGAGTTCTGAGTCGGAATAACCTATTTTTCGCTTTTGCTTATTCCATTAGAGACTGAAATAGATAATGTATCGAATTATTGCTGATGAGTCCTAATAAGGACAAAATTGGTCCAAGAATGACGTTCTCTTTAGTGGCAATATCAAAGGAAGAGTGTTGAAATTAAATTTATGTCTCTGCTGTCTTTCTTTTGGATATAATTCAATACCTGTTGCGGTATTAGCCAATAAAGAAACTGACATATGGCTTTATGTTTTATTTATTTTACGTCTTAGTCATATTTAAGTTGAAATTATTTTCCTTTTTTAGTTTATTAATCAACTTATAACTTTTAAAATCCATCACTCGAATATCACTATTCGATATTTTGGCGAACTGGCCTAGCCATAATTAAGCGCATTCACCATTTTTATATTTTTTTTACAGATCTACAAAAACAACCTACACAAAGACGAAAACTACTGGAGGAATCAAAAGTCATACAAAAAGTCATGCTACCCATTCGGTAACTGAAAGCCCATTCCAAGCTAGTCACAACAGCATGAGTATGAGTTTACATAATAGTTCAGCTTCCAAATTCCAAGGAGGTAAGATTTGAAGAACTAAAAAATAAGTAATCCAAATTTATTGGATCACTCCATTAACAAAAATTTATTAGAAGTATTTTAAAAAAAATCAGGAAAAATCAAGCTTTATAATGGGACGAAGTCTATTGATTCTAAAAAAAATCGGAATGAAACTGGGGAGGGGGTTAAAGGGGGTTGAAATATTAAAAAAAATACTAACTCAAAAACGAAAAATTATATTAACTTGAAATTTTTAGCAAAAATCAAGCTCTATAAGGGGACAAAGCCTATTGCCTAATTAAAAATGGGGGGGTTAAGGAGGGTTGAAATTAAAAATAAAATAATTAACCAAAAACGAAAAGCGATATCAACACGAAATGTTTAGTAAAAATCTAGCTTTATAAGAAAAGTAATTATTGATTCTGAAAAAATATGAATTAAAATGGGAGATTGAGAGGGGTTGAAATAATAAAAAAATATCCTAACTCAAAAACGAAGAAAGATATCAAAGGGCTTTTTCCTTTTATAGAGCTTGATTTTTGCTAAAACTTTGTTTAAAAATGGGGGTTTAAAGGGGGTTGAAATACAAATAAAACCTAACTCAACGAAAAATAGAAATCAAACACCCAAAGCGATACCAACATGAAATTTTTAATAAAAATGAAGCTTTATAAATATACGTACTACCTAATTAAATAAAATATATCTGACTTTGTATTAGCCTCCTATATTAAACTATAATTTATTACAAATGTATATTATTTTAATAATAGTATTATATTTCAGAGTATTGCTACGTCATTATAAAATAATGTATGTTACAGGAACATGTAATTAGGGCAACCTGTATGTTTCTGATAGATAAATAAATAAATAAATAAATAACGAAGTGAGATAACATGAGCTTTAGCTGAGAGCTGATATTATTCCCTCTGTCAAAATGCCAGTTTAGTGTGACGTCACTTTGGTTCCACTGACATTTAATTCTAGCCAAACTATTAACAAAAACATCAATAAATTTGCTATATACGTTTTTACTGTTTTAAGTTTTTTTCTAAATATTGTTTGCATGTCATAAAAAATAGTTTAGAGATATGTAATTGATAACTAAACGATTATATATTTCATGCATGTTAACTACTTACTTTAGGAATATATTTATAAAAGTGTAAAAACAATATAATTTAGGTAAACAAATTGAAAAAAATGCACTAAAAAAATCTACTGTCACTTTAATTGTCAGTGAAATTATAGTTACATAATCACTTAGATAAAAGAGACCAGAGATATAACATACACCGGTTTTAAACCTGCGCAAATGTTGCCAATTTCTAAAGAAGGGTTAACGGAGTGGGGGAACTGGGCGGCGACACGCGGCGACCCGAACTCTATGACAGGGACCGGACTTTGTTTATTAGCAACTTAATGAACTATTAGGTTTATTTAAAAGGTGTTTAATCGAATTTTGTATTATGAAATAAAGTTATCGTGATTTTTTAATATCAAACAGATGCCACGACATTTTATGTAAAGAGAAGACCTTTTATAGAATATTTCGTTAGCGTTTATTTACTACGGACTTTTCTGCAAGAGATTACAGTAAAATGTTGAAATAGAATATATTGTTAATAGAGCAAAAAATGTTACTCATTGTCTACGAGTATTATAAAAATAGCATGTGCGCAGGCTAATACTGCAAATCTACCCTTATGAGTCGAACATCGATTATTTTCGATCAATAGATTATTTTCAAACAATATATTTTTTGTCATTTCCTTTAAAATCTTTGAAAAATAAAAAATAATTCCAAAATAATCGCCTAATCGAAAATAACCAATTAATTAAGAAGCCGATTCTATGATAAATCGATTTTCCAAAAAATAAAACGAATTATCTATTATTTTCTAATAATTCTTTTTTCATATTTCCTTTGAAATTGATTATTCGATTATCGAAAATAATTGATTATTAAAAAGCTGATTATCCAATAAATCGATAATTTTAAAAAAATGACCAAAATATCGATTTTGTAAAATAACCGATTATATTCAATCGATTATTTTCATATAATATCTTTGAAAAATCGAAAATAATCAAATAATTAAAAAACCGATTAAACGATAAATCGATAATTTTGAATAAATCTACTTTTTCTGTATTTCCTTTAAAATCGATTAATACATTATCTTAAAAAAAAAACGAAAATAATTTATTAAAAACAGCGGATAAATCGATTTTCATTAAAAAATATCAAATTATCGATAAATCGATTATTTTTGTAACCCCTATCGGTCGCTTGCTTTTATCTGAGCATTTAGCTCCAAAATTTAGAGATTCAGATTTTTTGATCCAGTTATCTTTGAAATCGCATTCGCTTGTATAATAAATAAATATTACTAAATTTTGGATTTTTTTTTAGTAAACGAAAATTATGTTCGAGTTGTTTAGGGGTTTGTAATGTAACATTTTATTAACGTGACTAAGGGTCGATTCCACCGTTGTGTTAAACGAAGTTTAAAATGACATTTTTACATTAACACTGTCATTTTAATCTCCGTTTAACACAACGGTGGAATCGGACCTAACTCCTGTAACTTTAGTATTTTTTTTTTGCTTATACTAGATGACTTTGTTTTAAGACTGAAAATTCAATGTCACTTTCGATTTGACCGCAAATAAGATGAACCTTGAAATTTTAAGTAGGTCATCCTGTATTTCATCTAATATTCTTATAAAAATACCTTATAAAAATAAAATTTAGCTAGCAACTATGATTCTTTACCTCTTATTTATCTACCAAAAAGGGCTAAAAACTACCTTTAGAAAACATTCTTATAAAACTACTTTTTAAATACAAAATTTCGTTAGCAATAATGCCTATTTACTATTTATTTAAATTAAATGTTCAAAATTTTACCCTTTTGTAAATTTATGTAAGTAATATGAAATCTGATGCTTAATATTTATTGAAACCCCTTAATGCGGATCTGAAGTATTCAGCCCAGAGAATCATGCCGCTTTATGTCAAAACGTTAATAAATATTTACCGCTGAAAACGAATATATTCATAACAGTAGTACTTGTATTATAAGTACATACAATTTTTCAAGATACATCGTGACATTTTGAACTTGAAATTGAATAACTAGAACACTTTAAATTGCTAAAATACCAACAAATAAATCAAAAAACTGCTGTCAATGGTGATTAAACTCAGGTGGAGGTGTGATCGCTGAATGGAAATCGGAGCAATTCGGGTGGCGTCGTGCAACAATGATTTTCAATTGGTGGGTTACTTTGGCTTAAAATAGACAGCATGCGCAGTGTGCAATGTTACATCCATAGACATCATATTATCTAAGATAGACTCGCCCGCCCTACACACTTTCTGTCCGCATGTTTTACCAGACGGGGAAAGGGAAATCGTACGTCGCACATTGACGTAGTGTTTCGGGAGGGTTTACATATATTTTTAGTAAAAATTATTTAATGACCAAATCAATAACCTATGGGTCTTCGGAATCAAAGGTAAATTTAAAGAAAACATATTCAATTTATACAGGGCATTCAAAAGTCATTTTATATTTTTTCTTATAGATTAAAATAGTAAAAGATTAGTAGATGAAAATTAAAAGTGGAAGAACATTTTTGTTAGTATTTTATTATATATTTTTTAAATACATGAAGAGCAAAGAGCAAGTAAAAATATAAAGCCATTTAATATTATTTTTACATGGGTACTGTTTGAAAACCTTTATTACAGGTCGAAAAAAGAATAATTTATATTGCCGGACTACCTTTTTTTATGAAATAAAAAGCTATTAAAAACAGAACAATTTTATTTCAGATACATAAATATACAAATATGATCTTTCTATTACATACCATTTGGGTTGCATGTCACGACACCTATTTTTAGAATTATTTGTGTAATGATATAGGACAGTAATCAGCAATGATTTTATAATATCTGGACAAGGCTAAAACACATTAGCTTAAGATTATCAAGAGATACTTTATTTCTAATTTGTCCGAATATAAAAAACACTAAAGGAAGCTTCTTTTGTGACATTTCGAATGTCATTTTACTATCAATGGTTACTCCTACAAACACTCTTGGTGAAGAATCTGCTCAATAGATTTATTTAGTGTTATAACTGATATTTTGTAAAGCATATTTTGGAATAAAATAGCTATTTGTGTATTAAGAACAGAAAGTAGCACCTTTGACAGTTGAGACAGAAAGTCTGTCGAAGAGAAAAGATTTATTTTATATTTCTTCAAAAAGGAGGAAAAATACAATATCAAAACTGTTATCTCAGTTATGTAATCATCATTTTCAGTATTTGTGTTTTTCCAACTAACCATAGCAACTGACCATTATTTTGTAATTGAGATGAAAAACCGTACGAGTCGCAGATATGTACGGTTTTTCACCTAATTTCACGGGTATAATCAGCTGTACTACATTAACAGCTAGGTATCTAGTACGGTTTTTAAGCTCAATGCGATGTCATTTTGGTTCGACTGACATTTAATTCTAACCAAACTTTTAACAAAAACATCAATAAATTTGACATATACGTTTTTACTATTTTTATTTTATTTCAAAATATTGTTTACAGGTCATAAAATATTGTATATTTGATACATGCTATCTACTTACTTTAGGAATATATTTATAAAAGTGAAAAAAACGATATAATTTAGGTAAACAAAACGAACAAAACGGACTCCAAAAATCTACTGTCACTTTAATTGTCAGTGGAAAAATAATTACATCATCACTGAAGTAGCGCATCGATGAAGAGACAAATTTTAAACGAAATGGCTTATTTTGAAATGTCAAATTTGAGACTTGTACGATTTTCGAACTCACTGGTTCAATTGCAGAACACTGTTTGCAGTGAATCTTTTTCTTTAAGGATTTTACTATAAAACCCGAAATATAAGCAACTACGTCCTGAATGTATTCGCTCAGAAAATATATAGATAGGTAATCATGGTCACGAAGCTCATTTGTAAATTCCAAATTTTCTTTAGTGTCTGATTCGTAACATTTTAAATTTAACGCAATTTGGCTACTAGTGTTGCTACAATCGAAGATGCTGGTGCCATCTAAAGCAATTGCATTTGCAGTTTTATTTGACTTTACTTCATTATGAATTAATAATTTTGTATAACAATTTTGAAACAATCTCCATGCGAGATTGTTATTGAAGCATCTATTACGAACTGCACTAAAAAAAAGTATTATTTTTTTCTTCATTTTTCGCATCTTCCACTACCTCTCCCAAAATTCTGTAAAATGTGATGATTACTGTATAATTTTAGAGCTTACATATAATAAAAATACCCATAATAAATACTGTACTTACTTGATAGGTATAGCATTATGTTTTAAGATGTGTCTACCACTTAAATTTTCATAAATATCTGCCATACAAAAATGGTCAGAACATATACTAAGGCTTCTTTCATTTTCATAATGTTTTCCTCCACCAAGCATAGATTTTGCAGCCAAATTCCACGTTGAATAATTTATCTAGGAAACCTGATCAGAAAATATAGAACATTATTATTTAAATAAACAATGCTAGTGCTAAATGCCTTTACACTGTTAAATAAATTAAGCCTTATTCCCTGTATATGCCTACGTCTATGCTAACATAATCTTATTTATGAAATGACCGAATAACATTCTTATTATGCGTATTTCGGCACACTATACATTTCCTCCCCATCATAAAAGTCCTTAATAAAAAGTTCAGGGTTTAAATTATTCTTGAAAACTACAAAAAACCACAAAAAACACAATAAAACTTGATCTGTCACTTTGACAACATCAGCAAAATGTCTTAGGTTGCCAAAGTTAAATGATTTATACCAAAATGTTTAATATTCCCATATGATACACATGTAAAAATAGATACTTAAAAGTCTTAAGTGATTGCAATTAATAAAAAACTCATATTGATGCTTTCAATTCTTTATTTCCTTTTTTTATTAGATTGTATTAAAGGTAATAGTAACTTTTTAAATAAAAATTTAATGTTTGATATTTGATGAAAGAGATCTGACAACATAGGAAGAGCGTACCGTCAAAAAAAAGTTGCGGACAAGTGTAATGTATACAAGGCGTATCTATTATCCGATATCTTTGGTTACATCTTCGGTCTCTCTAATCTAAGCATAATCACTAACATGGCGTATTGAAACAATACACTATATTAATTTATGACGTAATTTGTATTCCAATGACAAATACCGTAGCATTAAACTTATTAATTTATAATAATGTTTTGTTCATTTTATTTACTGCTAAATTATACAGATTTTGAATTTACAAAAATAGGTATTCCTAAAGTAAGTAGATAACATGCATCAATTTCAATGACAAAATGGTTCTCCTGCAAAGTTGTTTATAAAATTTAAAGAAATTGGATTAACATTATTTTCGTGTACCTTGTATTTATTTATTAAAGGTTATTATATTTATTTAGATTAAATAAACCTCTCTCAAAATACAATTTTAACACTAACCTATTCTATGATCTTGATAATTTAGTATTGAAATATTTCAGGATGTACTGCAATGCCATCTCCAATGAACGCTGGAGTGCGATGCTCGCAATACTCAGGATGCAGGGCTGATTGTTTACCAAACTATCAATTTCCAAATGGAAAACCCCATTTAGCCTTTACTTGCGTAGATGGACAATGGATGGAATCCAATGGTTTATTTACCAATGTTCCCAACTGTGAACGTAAGTGTATTTGGTGAAGAAATCAGTTTAACTATTGCCGGGAAGAATGTGATGATGGCTTTGTAAAGTCAAAAAAAAACACTCGACTGATTTTATTAAATTAAATACCTATCCGAATTAAATTTCAAATTTCATTTGTTTTTAGCAATTTGTATGCCTGCTTGCCAGAATAATGGAATTTGTCTGTCCCCCAACCAATGTAATTGTGCAGAAAACTTTTCCGGTCCACAGTGCCAATTTGAAAGTAAACCTTGTCTAAATCATCCACCAATGCCGATAAATTCCAAACGGTCTTGCAGTTCCAAGTAAGTCAATGTCCAACTTCAGTGGGTTATCAGATAGTTAAAGTTACGGATCAAACAAACTGAACTATAATTTGTGTTTTCAGGAAATGTACTGTCACTTGTGCAAAAGGATTCGAATTCCCAGATGGATCAGCAATTGCAACCATGGATTGTAAAAATGGAATGTGGGTACCTACGAAGGAAAAATGGGTTTCAATCCCAGATTGCCAAGGTAAAAATGTTGTTATGAAATGTACTAGATAACGTTATAGTAACGAGCCACCGAGAAAAATAATTGCAGTTGGCTGTAAAATTTGAATGTTTTGGCTTGGTACTTCCACATAATGACATTTATTACTTGACATTTTCATTTTAAATAAAGTTTGTTACCTCGAAATGATACTGCAACAAAAACAAAGAAACAAATAATTCATTTAATATCGAAATCATAATCAAAATTTATATAAAACTAGAAAAATTGTTGAAATTGTCTTAACGTCTTAACACATATGTTTAAATCGCAAGCCTTAGTTGAATATGGGATTTTAGTCTTCCTGCCATCGAGATGGAATGAAGTAGAGACGACATAAACACTATTTTGCAATATGACAGATAGACGCCAAGAGTGATGTAAAAGTAGATTCAAAATGGTGACTAAAGTCGTAATTTGATTTATTTATAGTGGAGTTGCACTGGGTGTAAGTTTTCTGCACTAAACGTATTTGATTTGTTCAGTGTAACTTCAAATATTTGACAAATACTAGAATGTAGCATCACATACTTTGATTTTCTTTTACTATACGGATCGCACTGCGCAGCTTTCTGAGTGCCTTTTAAAAGAAGATAGAAAACTCCGCAATTTTGAACCCTTATTACGTGTTGCCTACATCTTGGCGCAATATTTTTAATAGGTGCGTTTTAATCATCCGGTACTGCTTCGGAATTGTCAGTTTTCTTGTTTTAATCTGACAGGTTAAAACGACTAAACCGACAATTCCGGAAGCAGAAGCGGATGATTAAAACGCACCTGATATTTTGCTTGCTGCTGTCAGTGTCAGTGAATATTATTTTAGAAGTCACAGTTTATTGCTAAAGAATCAGTTAGCTCACTCGGACCAGTTGAAATTTCCAAAATAACATCCACTCCAGGGATACAAATTCAGGATACGCAGAAGAATGCTGTTTTATTATAGGCGGTTGTCATATATTGTATTGTCCGAGTTGCACAGTGTATAAACTGAAACATTGAGATCAAAAGTGCCGACGCAGAGTGAGCGATCTGATTCTTTAGCTGTAAACTGTGTCACAGGGTTCAAAATGGTCGCGCCCTATGTTGGGCGTGTCGGACCTCTCTCTTGCCTCGTATAGTAATCAAAGTATGTGATGTAGCATATACATTTGACAAGTATGACAGTTCGAATACAGTATCGAGCGTGACACTAATGCAACAAATAAAATCATTGATTTAATTCATGGTTTTGGGCACATATGGGACAAATCACAATAGTTGACTTACAATGGTTTGCAGAATAGTGATATCCAGAACACTTAAAACATCGCCTCAAATCAATTGCATCATATATACTACAATAGTCATACCCTAAAAATAACTTGCCCTGTTGCATCACTTTGTTATAACTAGAAATATAGCAATGAACAATTGCTTGAAAGAGTTTATTATTTTTTTTCAGTGGTGTACAAGCAATAAACTTTAAGTTTCCAGAAATGACATTTTCGTTTTGGCCTTTTAAACACTTAACAAGTTCTTCATCTGTTAATCTCATGGACATTCCTACAATTTTAAAGCGTGGATTTAATACTGGAACTTCATTTATGAGTTTTTCATTTGCCAGTTTCACAAATTTATTACAATCCTCTGATTTTTGACAGCTGACTACCAGCCCACCATCTTTTACTTGAAGAACTTTGCTTAAATTTATTTAAGACTCAATCGGGTTGATATTCTTATTCATATCATTTTTAGTAACTGTAGAATCTTGTTTGATCTCAGGTTTAATAATATAAGAAGGCTGCTTCTGAAGTACGGAATTTTGGTATTTTGGTTATTAATGGTCTGTGAGGATCTAGGAACGTTTGACTGATGTTGTAGTTGAATCTGTTGACTAAATTCTGCTATAATTTCGTTTTTAAATGTAGACAATTCATTAATTTCAAAAGGAAAAACTTGTATTTCGTGCAAAACTTTTTTATTAATCAATGCAAAGCGCTTTCGGCTTATTTGCCATCATCAGTGCTCATTGTCCACAACGTATCCAACAAGTTCCTGGTCATCCTCACTCCCAAAATTATATATTTCGGGATATTTACAACTTGCTAAATCATAATTTTATTAATATTAATATTTTCAAATTTAAATTTCTCTCTTCATTTTGGTTCAAGTTGTTTAACCGTTTCCACCATTTTTTGTACCTGGCCACTATCAGAGTGTCTTATTGTTTTCATAAGAAGCTCTTCAAATGATAATTTTGATGTGAATCGACTAGTTGTAGCTTCTATATTTGGAATTTGTTCGACATTTTAGTTTTATTTGACATTTTGGTTTCCTTCGACATTTTGGTTGTCTTCGACATTTTGGTTTTCTTCGACATTTTGGTTTTTTCGACATTTTGGTTTTTTTCGACGTAATGGTTTTCTTCGACATTTTGGTTTCCTTCGACGTTTTCGTTATCTTCGACATTTTGGTTTTCTTCGACATGTTCGTTTCCTCCAACATTTTGTTTCTTCTCGTCTCCCAACAGCATTACCTGAGGTGTGTTTTCTTCACCTTCTTAAACATTCAGGATCATATTTGTCTTGAGATATGACCTGCTGATCAAATGGCTGTATACCAGCTTTTACAAAACCATTACTAATAGTGATAGGCTTGAGGTCCTTCCAGGCTTGACCGATCATTGTTTCTTTGGTATTTTAATTCCCACATTACTCCTTTGCCAAGCCACTAATCTTTCATCCCATGTACCCTTCAGTGATCTGAACACTGCTATATCTAGTGGCTGAAGAAGGTGGCTCGTGTGTGGGGGAAGTTTGAGAATTGTTACATTATTGGCAGTTGCCAATTCTATTAGAGGAATGTTAACATGGGTGCTATGACCATCATAAATAATCAGAACAGGTCTGTGTGGTCCCAGAGCAGGCAGTAGAGTTTTTCAAAGTAATTTAAAAAAATGACTGTCTCCATCCAGCCTTTTTTGCTGGCAGCAAATGATATTCCTAGATACGAGTCTTCTTCATTTGTAACCCAGGCAGCCCAAATATTCTTCCCCTTATACACAATGAGTGGAGGGGCTTTTAATCCGGAAGCAGATACAGCAGCTAAAACAGTTGCATTTTCCCGGCCCGGACCTGACACGGTTCTAGAACAAGCTTTTCCCCTTGTACAAACAATTTTTGTTTTATAAGGATCATGAAAAAAAGAACTCTCATCTAGGTTCCAAATTTGTTCGGGCTTGTTATGAAGTGATAAATCTGTTAAAGTTTGATTCAAAATATCGAAATATGCATTAATGATGAACGGATCTGTCATCTTTTTTCGGGCGTACTCAACTGATTGGGGCTTCTTTATACTCAGGTGGTGACTTATTTTGAAGTTTCTGAACCAATCATCACCAGGTATGTTGTTTTTGAATGGTGTCTTAATATTATTTTGTTCAACATAACTTGCAACAACCATCAGCAATTCTTTTCTCGTGATTCCAAAGCCCTACTTCTCAAGTGTGCGAAGAGCATTTGCTAATTTGATTTCATCCTCTTTTGGAATCACTGTAGAATGGCCTTGTGTCTCGCTTTTTTTTCCTCGGGTACCTTTCAGGTGTAAAATAGGTTGGTTTTCGGAATATGATATAATCTATGGGCTCTATGTATGGTTAGAGTACCGCGTTTAATTTCAGCCACACCTAAATTTATATCTTCCTTTGAATAAGCCCCTCCTCTGTTAGTCTTTCTTACGTAGACTCTTGGCATATTCTGAAATGAAAAATTTTTATTAAGTTTTTACACCGCAAAAATGTACGTTCACACTTGCACTGATGAAATGTTCACACTTACCTCATTATGCGAAATACTAAGGGGTAAGTGTGAACACGATATTTATCAACAGTACGAAAAAAAAAACCGAAAATGCATATATACTGTGTTAAACTATAACATATTACAAATACAATAGCAATAATTAAAAATAACTTACGTTGGTAAATGTATTTTTCCTTGTATTTTAAAAATAACACGGTGCACTCGTCAACTGTGATCACTTTATGGCATGAATTAAATAGGTTATGTCGCGCCCGCCAATTATCGCACTGGCGTTCTTTTTAGCGGGCAAGTGTTCTAGGATGATATACTACTACGAACAAAAAAACGTACTTCTATCGGTGTACTCTTGTCATTTTAAAATGATATGTTCACAGTTACCCCCGATTCACACTTACCCAGGTTTACCTTAATAATAATACCTTTTTTTAAAATTCCACATTTCTTTTTGCATATGTCACACAAGAAAAATAAATTCTTACTTTTAGACAGCATAGAAAACTCCACATTAGTTAGGCCGATACATGAGTAATGGAACCATTTAGAACAGACGCCTTCACATCCTACCAAACCTTCGTTTTTATTTATTTTACATTAACTGCATTTAGTAGAATCTCCCATAATAAATTAATCAATCTCCGCTACTGGTTCTTGATAATGAATGAACACATACTAAGCAAAAACGGATACTACTTTTTCAAGAGAATCGAATTTCTGATTTTACTACAAAATGCACTCAAAGAACTATTTTAATTAATAAAATTGAAAAAAAAAATTACTCACATCGATTGCTGATATACATATTCACTGCTGATCTTAAACTGAGAATTATTATCGTGATAGCATCTCCTCTTTATTATATCTCAATGATTTCTACTTATTGTTCTGTCATCAAAAAATTCAACAAGATATTGAAATGTTTCTCTGGTCATACACATATGAAATAAATAAACAATGCGAAGTGTTTCAATTTATATGTAGTCACATGAAAAGTATTTTAATAAAGACAAAAAACTACTAGACCAACGTATTCATTCGTATTATTTATTAATTAACCATTATTTAACTGCAAGTATTCAGCTCGTGTTTAAGACAGACAGCGCCATTGCATTGTCCGTTGCATTAGAAAGAACGAGACGCCTACTAAATTGAGTGAGGATAGTTTGTGCAAGCAGGCTTTTTATGAAAGAACCAGCTCGTAAAACTACAAAATAAATAATGAACTTTCCTGTAAATCACTTTTAGCTACAATAATAGTGGCAACCAGAAAAAAATATTAAACCGATAATAAGAATTCAATTATACTCAATGTATTTTTGAAATATCGACGCCATCACCTTTCTGGCCGATAGATTAGAACCTTATGTTAAGTAAATTCCGGATTATTCTAATAATTATTTATTTATTTTACAGCTACTTGCACTCCACCTTGTCAAAACGGAGGAAATTGTCTGTCATTCAACGTCTGTCAATGTCCACAAGATTTCAGAGGACCACAATGCCAATACAGTAAGTATTAAACTTATATCCTCTCATACACAATAGTTTTTTTATAATTTTTATGAATATTTTCGATAACATTTATTAAGCTAGATATACAGGGTGTTAGTATATTCGACCGACAACGCTTTACCCCAGAGAGCTCTCGTTAATTGATGAACATGGACCCTTAAAGGACTTAGTTACCGAGATACGTGTTGTTAGAAGTTTCAAATCAAGATCCAAAATTTACCATAAATTAAAAAAGCTTTTAAATATTTTTTAAAATTTGGTGACCAATATGCTCTTTAAGAAAGTACTATTGTTATTGTGAAATAAACTCCCTTTTGAAAAATTCAACCAGTAGGGCGCTATCAAGGTTAGTAGTAACTTTTCCCCCCACTTTTTACGCCACTGCAATAAACTTTTTTTTATGTTATTAATATTTTTTATGTGTTGCAGAAATTTGCTTCTAAATAAAAGTGTACTTAAATAATTTTTATTGACTCAATATTTTTAAATTCTAATCTTGTAAGTACGTAAGCAAATTTTGAATAGTTCGTGTATTTGACAAGATCTTGGTAGATTAAATCTGAATAAATATTTAAATATGTTTTTGATTTATGGCAAAGTTGGAATTAAATCTTTTAACACCCTGTATTTCGGTAACTAAGCTCTTTTAGGAATCATATTCTTCTATTCAAATTAACCAATTCACGAGAGCTCTTTGTGGTAGAGCGTTGTCACCCTGTACATTTCTGGTTAATAAAAGTCAGTTAATTAAACAAAAATATAACTAAAAGAACAAAGATTTAGGGGCGCCATTTAAGTTTACAAAACCGAAACTAAAATTCAGAATAAAAAAAAGATCTACTCAATTATTATTCATAACGTGGATAATTATAGTGTGTAATAGTCAAATAAAATAAATTTAATAGCTCAATTACTGTGTAAATTTATGAAAAATCCAGAAACACGTCAATGAACGTGTCACTTTAAATTATTAACTACAGATCAAAAACATGGTTTATTTAACAGAAACGCATAAAATAACAATTTTTGTAATAAATTTGAATACCATAGCATATTTTAATAGAGAATGAAGATACCTTTCAGATGAGGTATCACCAAGTCCCTACTTTCTATGTACAAATTTGAAGGTTGCAACTGTCACTCGGAGTGAATTTTCCACGTTGCAGGACATCATTTTATAATCTGAAATTATAATAAATATGCACAGTATTTATTCCATTTGGCTGTTACACACTGTATTACTAATTGTATTTAAAAAAAAAATAAAACGATTTAAAAATTAAACGCAATATAATAATTTCAGAGGCTGAAGTATGTTCTCCAAAAGAACTAGGTTTCAATGGAGGTTACAACTGTTCCGGTGATGCCAATACATTCTCTTGTTCTGTAAACTGTCCTCCTGGTATTGAATTTGAGTTTCCTCCAGAGCATGTGTACACCTGTACCTACGATTTGGGAATGTTTTTACCTGTACCTATACCTTCGTGTCTTTATCGTAAGTATATTATACACGTATTTTTCTTTTTATAATAATACATGATGCCAACGCTGCGAGTCAAAAAGGTCAAATGCTTCCAAGAACCATTTTTTACTTTTTTTGCTGATACTGCTTTAATAAATTGTTAGCAGCTCATTATTGTAAAATCTTTAAATAGTATTATCATCAGAGACGTAATACTCAGAAATTTTGAAAAACTTAAAATGTTCCTTACAGCTGAATTCTCTGAAGTAACTTTCCACGAAGGAGAATCAGATAGCAACTCTTGGATAAACGAAACCAAACATAAATCCAGCTATTCCACTGGTAGTTCACATTCAAGTGGAGAATCTTATGGTTCTACAACGGGTTCTTACCGCAAATCACACGGTGTAAGTAAAAATATTACCCAAGATGTTTTTGTGCTAATTAAAATTTTTAGGATGAAGAAGTTATGATAAAAGAGAACGTTAAAGGCTCCAATAGTGGTAACCACGAACATATTGTTGTTGAACAACGTCTTCCAAAACCAGGAACTTGCTTTAGCTGGGGAGGAGGTCATTACAAGACATTCGACGATAGAGTTTACAGGTAAGCTACAAATAGTTTGGTGTAAAAAAACCATGTTCAATATACTACGTGAAATTAATTATATTTCTTTTTCATCATCATTATATCTATGCTTGTACTTATTTAAATTTCAATTAATTACAATTTGTCGACCTCAAGCTCGTATACAATTGTTACCCTGTAGTATCATTTTAGACGTACTTCTAGGTGATGTTCAATGTAATGTTTGCTTGTACTTAAATTTTAATTCTTTTTGATCATCGATCCTTAATAAAAAGATTGATTCATATAATTGTAGGGAAAATAAATTTAACTTGGTCAAATGAATCCTTCTATCTAATTTTCACCCTGTAATATGTTAGACGTACTTTACTGTAGTGTTCAACCTGAAATCTTGGCTTCTTCTTGAATTGTAGTTATTTTATCTTCATCAAAAGATGTATTTATCTATAAGAAAAATTATTCCAAATTTGTTAAAATCATCCTCCTATTCAATTATTACCCTGTAATTATCGTGTTAGACATCTGTATCTGTAACGTGTGGAGGGTGGGTTAACGCACAGCACTTATACCTCACTAGGCTCATTGTGCATCCTCTTAAGTAGATAGGCACCTCCAAGCTCGTGAGCCAGCCTACAGATTTAATGTAGTCGACAACGTCGTCAAAAAGTGCTACTCGTATTTCAGCCAATTCCCGCCGAACACAAATCTTCTAATAAATAAGAGCATCGGCCAATCATAAAGGATATGCTCAATGCTCTCATCTTCTTGTTCGCACCAGCAATAACCACTGAGGCCTGTGATCAGGCGCAGATTCTGTAAGGATAACTTAAAAGCTTCCTGACAAGTTTGCAGTTTCCTGTTTCGTCCCATTTTCTCTTAATTAGGTTTGTCACTACACTACAGATGTTTTCAGTCTAATAGAAATGCCAGATTTAAAAATTATTTGGTTGGCTGCCTTTTTGGCTAGTAAATCAGCAAGACGATTACCTTTCGATGTGGTATGACCTTTGATACATTTCAAGTTAACCACATTGTTGATAGATACTTGGCCCAAAGATTGGAGACATTTTAGTATTAACCCTGACTAAATTCGTGGTCTGTCCGGGGTGAGTAGTGTTTGTCTGCTATCTGTATAGATTTATTCCAATGGTATTATTTCTGGTGATTTATTTTGCTGCTTTAAGAATCCCCGTGAGCTCGATTTAAACTATAGTGGCATTACTGTTCACAACCCATTTCATGTTTAGGTTTAAGAATCTGAAGTATATGCCGTATCATGAGCATTGTTTTGTTTTAGAACCTTCGGTGTAGATATGAATCGTACCCATCACTTTCGGCTCTTCTATTTGTTCTGTTATAACTTTATATGGCTTATGGAAAATATACCTCGGTGAGATGGAGTCCATGTTCGCTTAAAGCACTGGGAGCGTATCGAGCGCCTCCTGCCAAAAGCAACATCTCACCTCACCAGATCCTACATCAGGTTCTATTCCAACCATGCGGAGGCGTGTCATTGTTATCAGAGCAACCTATTTGATGCAAATATCAAGGGAAGTGAGAATAAGAATGACTTCCATGACTCCGGTCGGTGTGGTTTTTATGGTTCCTGTTATGTTGAGACATTCTGTTCTTTGAATTTCTTCTAGTTTGCAGAAAGCTTGTCAACTTTTGGATTAGACATACTTCTCAGTGTTGTTGAAAGATTTTCTTTACTGGTAAAACAATCAATATTGTCTTGACTAATTCACCTATACAGTTGTGTAGATAAATCTGAAGCGATTTTTTGAATTATTTTATATAAATAAAAAATTATAATGAACTGGACTATTTGGAATTTTATTTATAATTTTTTAATTTTAATTATTAATTTGTAATTTTTAGTTTTAATTCACAATGTCCTCAAGTACTGGTTCGAGACTCTAAAGATGGAACGTTCTCAATAATCACCCAAAATGATCCAATATGCGTGAAAGATCCAAAATACTGTCATAAAATCATTAACATCTTCTTACAAAACGTCAACTACGTGCTAGATAGAAAACCCGGAGGAGATTTCTCATTTAAAACATCAGACAAGTCTTTGCCCATTCCTGGTAGGGTACCTGGAGTTAGAGTTGAAATGATGGCTCATAATCTTTTGGTATCCATGGATACGATTGGTGTTCAATTGTTGTGGGATGGACAGGTAATTATTATCATTAATATTTATGTCAAATTAAATTAGATATTTACATTAATGAACGAGGTAGTACTAGTGTTTGGATATTTTTTTTAGTTACTGGTTCAAATTTCTGTAAAAGAAAATCTATGGAACAGAACTGAAGGTCTATGTGGTATTTTGGATGGAGATTCAACGACAGATCTAATTACTCAAGATGGACAGTTCCCTCGTAATATTCTGACTCTAGCCAACAGCTGGAAAGTGGATACTCTAGACAGTGAGTACCATTGCTTAGTGAAGACCAATTTTTACTCATTGAGAAAATTCTCGAATAATTTACTTAAACATGTAGAAAAAGTATTCGATATCAAAAATGTATTTTTCAGATCGGTGCAATATTCCACCAACTGAAGACCAAATTTGTAAAAATAAACAGGAAAATGCAGTTAATGCCACACAATTCTGTAATAAATTGATAGCGGATAACAGATTTAAATCATGTCAGAATGTAAGTTGGGCAATTCCAAAAATCTCTTACTTAAGTGATCTTACACGTTTTATAAAGACACAGCGCCAATGTTGGTAATTACAGTTTAATGTTTACTTTTGGATTTTAGGTTTTGGACATTATATCGCTCTACGATGCCTGTCGATCTGATTACTGTAATTGCCAAGAAACTGATCTATCTTACTGCGCATGTGATACGTTCAATGTTTACGTAAAACACTGTTCTCACTTTGGAGTGAAAGGACTAACCAATTGGAGAGATGAAAAAACTTGTCGTAAGTATTCTCAATATTCGTTTAGTTTTACATATAAGAAAGCACATAGCTTGAAGAAACTCTACAATTACGCCTTTAAATATCCTGCTAACAATCTAGTCCATCTCCAGGACTTTTTCGTGCTTTAATATGCCTTTTGAGGATATTACTAATAACCGCACTTCCTATCTGATTCCTTTAACTTTGTCTAGACAATTACTGAAAAAACCCTATCGAAAACCCTGTACCTATCCAGACTATATATTTAAATCTATTTTTTATTTTAGCTCTTCATTGTACCAATGGAAAAGTCTACAAAGCCTGTGGATCATCAAGCAGACAACCAGCATGTGGCTCTATAACAGAAGGAGTAGTTACTGAGGAATCTGAATGTGTTGAAGGATGTTTCTGCCCTGAAGGAACCGTCCTACATGAAGATAAGTGTATCACGAAGGACCAGTGTCCTTGTATGTTGAGAGGAAAGAGTTTCCCAGCAGGACACTCGGTACCAAAAGATTGTAATACCTGTACTTGTTCTGACGGTACATGGATTTGTACTGAAGTAAGTTGATGGTTACAGTATTTGGACTAAATTTTATTTTTACATGCTTTTAAAGATAAAATAAATTTTTCCCATGACCACCTAGCAAAGTGACATAACTATTTAGTCTTATGGGAAGTGCCCCGTTATCACACACGTGTCGATAAGAATCTGCTTTTTACCCGTGTGTGAATATAAATCTACTATCCGCATAAGCTATCAAATATGTCAGTCCATATTAATAGTTAAATCGATTTGATAATTAAACTGTTAACATTAATTTTTATACCTAGCTCTTAGATATTTATTTTTAACAAATTATTAAAAGAATTTTAAAGTAACCACATTATTTTTGTTTTTTCTTGGTTCACATACATATTTAATGTAATAACTTCTTTGTTACCCTCTTATTATCTTATTTGGGGGTATTATTTCTCTATACTACTTATTGACTGAACTATACTTTAACCCTGCATTGGTTTTAAATAGAACTTACATAAACTGAAAAGGGTACTTACTTATAGGTCTAACTTAGATGTCTATCAAGTCTAGTTGAGCGGTTTGGGCACTATAGTTTTCTACCAAATTAAATATCCTATTAGGGCGTGATTCGTCACGGCTTAAATGCGTGAAACCTTTTTTTTTTTTGTTAGTTGATGTTATCTTTTCCTCAGATACTAAGTGGTTTTTTACCTAATAACTTTTCACTGGGGTGTATGGGGGTTAAAATAAAACCCATTGGTAAATTAAACAAATATAATGAGTAAAATTGAAATTTAGAAAGATTGACGTAACAAAATAAAATAAACTCGATAAATAAAACACAAGGAACTTAAACAGAGTTCCTAGCAAAAAAAGTTGAGCAAAGTTTATGACGATGGATTCAATTGTAAGGTATTAACGTTATCTAAATAACAAATCGTTTATCCCTTCATAAAATAGAATTTACGATGTTGAAATGAAAATTGAAAGAACTGATACAAGCCGGTGACATGCCATTAAATCTAACATAATTTCACCATTGTCACAAAATTTAAGGGCTATTCAATTCGACACAAAATACGTCATAAATCTAATGAATGTCTATTTTCCCAGTATTACAAATTTGTCCCCAATAAACTAAAACTATCTGTAATCATTTTATTACAGCAAAGGAGAGAGTATTATAATCGCTCAAACAATTTTTATCGAGCTACAAGTTGATACCATATAACTCGAAAGATTAGGTTAGTTATTGTCTCAATGGACTTACCCCTGTCGTCTTAAGGGTTGACTGTAAATCCCCACCTGTATATAGGGTAAACTCGCCAGTAAGCCGGACACTACCAGTGAACGGACAAACCACTTTTAAAATCAAATAATAACGAAACCACCTCTTTAAAACGGGCGGGAAAATAGGCGTCAGTTCCTCTATGTTATTTCCGCATACTCATATATATCTGATCGCCATAGTTCCAACCAGCACAGAAGCAATAATGGTTATAAGTTGAGTGTCTACGAAAGCGTTCTCAAAATACAAAAAAAATAGTGTCATCCTCATTGTATTAGGTAAGATAAAGCTCTTATTTCTAATATAAATGTAAGTTTTAAGTTACCGATGTCATTAACATAGTTTAAACTCAATAATAATTAATAATATTCGGTAGATAGTGATCTTTTACTGCTAGAAAATGACTGGACGGAGACTGGAATATCTTTTTGAGCAATATGCTAATATGCGGACAAGTGTCCGGATACTGGTAAATTTATTTGCAACTGTATTCATCTTTGTCCGCTTTATTTAAAATAATGTGTTCTTTCTCATCTTTTTATATTTATAGTTTCCGTGTAAACTGTGTGTAAACCAGTGGCCGGACAAATTTTTTTGACGTAAGCATGTAGAAAAACGTTTGTCCTAGGTGTCCGATTATTGGACTAATGCCATTTTTTATGAACTTCCAGTATTCGCCCAGCAAATTTTTAACTGGAGTTTCACAATGATTTGTGTTGTTTTTTTCAGTTTAATTAAAAAAATACTGGAAAAATAATGAATAAAAGTAATAAAAAATCAAGACAAAATACTTATGCCCCAGAAAACTTAATTCTTGCATGCGAGGAAATAAGAAAAGGAGGCAAATTGCGGGAAATATGTCGACTCTATGGTGTACCGAAGTCGACCGTACTGGACCGTCTTAAGGGTAGAGTTACCACAGATACGATTTCTCGCATGGGCCCAGATCCAGTACTAAGTGAAAAGTATGAAGAAAAAATAGTCCAATGGTTGACTGAGCTGGCAAAATGTGGCTTTCCTTTAAAAAAAGAGGAGTTATTAGATGTTGTTCAGAAAATTGTCATCGATGGAAATTTAAAAACTCCTTTTAAAGGTGGACGTCCGGGACAAAAATGGTTTTCCAGTTTTTTGAAACGGCATCCAACAATTAAAATGAAATCAGTAGAAGCTCTAGATTCTTCTAGAGCGAAATTAACCAAAGAATTTATAAAGAAATGGTTTAGTGATTTAAAAGATTTTTTACAAAAATCTGGAGCTGCAGACATACTGGACGACCCCAGTCGTATTTTAAATGCGGACGAGTCTGGTTTTAGTCTCTGCCCTAAAACAGGTAAAGTTTTGGGATTGAAGGGTCATAATACATACGTGGTGAAAAAAGGAAATGAGAAAGAAAACTTAACGGTGTTGGTTACATTTACTGGAGACGGAAGAATGTGTCATCCCGTTGTCGTATTCCCTTACGTACGACCTCCAAAAGCTGTTGTTGACAGCATCCCTGAACAGTGGATTTTGGGGAAATCTGAATCAGGCTGGATGCGTTCAGACGTTTTTTATGAATTCGTTGCCAATGGACTAAACTCTTGGTTAACAGAACAACGTATCAAAAAACCTGTTCTGTTTTTAGTTGACGGACACCGATCGCATTTATCTCTTGAGCTTAGCCAGTTTTGTGATGCAAATAGAATAATTCTGTATGCGTTTCCTCCAAACGCAACTCATTTAATTCAACCAGCGGATGTATCAGTCTTCAAACCGATGAAGGAATATTGGCGGCAATATGTTCGAGAGTGGCAGTTAGAACATAATAAAGTTGTAACAAAAAGTGAATTTTGCCCTATCTTTAAAAAAGCTTTGGAACATCCAAATATGGTGGTTAATATAAAAAGCGGCTTCAAAGTTTGTGGACTATATCCCTTTAACCCAGATGCGCTAGATTATAGTAAATGTGTGCAAAATGCGTTAGAAGAACTTAACGTAGACACAAACAAAATATCTAATTTCAAGGCTGACGTAACATCAAATGATATAGAAAGTGCAGAAAAAGTAATATCAGTTTTAAAAGCCGAGTTAGAAGACAATGGCGTTAATGTCGAAGTTATGCTTAACATAATAAATACTTTAAAAGCACCTAGTGAAGATATTTCCGAAACAATATTTGATGATGCTAATATAATGAACTTTGATCTGGACGTTGACGGATTACTAAAACCAGTCGAAAGTGAAAACGAAATAAAAGAAAATGTTCAGCCTCAACCCTCCACTTCAACTGATGGACTGCTACAACCAGCTGAAAGTGAAAACCGAATTATTATTTTACAAAACGAAATAATAAAAAACGCATCAAATATTCAACCTCAACCCTCCGCTTTAACTAATGGATTACTACAACCAGTCGAAAGTGAAAACCGGATTATTATTTTACAGAACGAAATAATAGAAAACGCATCAAATATTCAACCTCGACCCTCCACTTCAAATGATGAATTACTACAACCAGCCAAAAGTGAAAACAGACTTATTATTTTACCAAACGATATAATAGAAAACGCATCAAATATTCAACCTCAACTTTATTCTTCAACTGATGAAACGGTAGTTGAAATATTTCCCGAATATAAAGCAGAAACAGATAAAAGAATATATGAAACAGCTGAAGACATTACACAGAAGAAATATAAAAGTGAAGCCGAACTTGCCTTTAAAAACCACCTCCGTTTCCCAAAACCTCTTGAAAAAAAACTGAAAACCAATCGAAATAATTTTCCAAGTGCTATTTCGTCAAAGGAATGGAGGAAACATTATGACGAAAAATTAAAACAAAAAGAGGAAAAAGAAAATTCAAAAAATAAGAGGAAACGCGTAGGTAATAAAAAGAAGGAAAATTTACACAAAGAAAGTTTCAATGAAGTTAAAAATGACAATATATTAGAAGCAACAAAAGATGAAAGTGAAATATTATTGCCCAAAAATGTCAATGTGACAACTTACGAACAACAGAAATGTGGAATATGTGATGAAATATTAGACAGTGATGCCGAAGACGAAAATGAAAAAAATGTCGGATGCGATGTATGTCCGAGATGGTATCATTTGGGATGCACACACTTCCATGGCTTAAAATATTGTGAGGTGAAACATAAAGATTACATTTGCGATTTTTGTAGAAATGACTCCTAATTGCTAATTTTTATCTGTTTCGGGAAGGTTGCAATTGTTTACTTTACTTTCGATTAGTTAGAATAATTATTAAATAACTGTTATTTGCTCTTTGTTTTTTATTACCTCATGGAAAATATGTACCTAACCACAAATATAGACCTATTTTGTGTTGGTTTTGTAAAATATGTAAACTCATAGGTATAGGTAAAACGTAAACTACATAATTATGGCTGTGTGACATTTATTTTTATTACGACTCTGTTTGAAAGAACCCCTGTCCGATAACTAGTATCCGATCGGTCGACAACTAGAGAACGATGTCCGGTAACTAGGAAAAATGCATATTTTAAACAAAAAAATTGTTTTTAAAATAACCGTTAAAAATGAAAACTTTTGTTTCCGCTCAGCCACTAGAAAAAACTATAAGCTAAATCATAAATATTCGTTTTTGATATTTTCTTGACAATTGTTTTTATAATACAATTTATAAATCCATGTTTCTCTTAACTGTCCGACAACTGGCGACTTCACCCTAGGTGGTCGCTCTGGATTAGCCTGTTAGGTAACACTATTAACCAAGGTGCGAGATTAC